ACAGGTGAACTGCCAAGGAATCCCGTGCCAGAAGAAGCGGAGGTAGGGACGGCTGCTTCTGTGTACCGGAATGGTAAGGTACGCATCTTTGAGGTCCAGACGAGTGAACCAGTCGTCGCGTCGAAGCAAGTCCCGGAGGAGGTGTATACCTTCCATTTTGAAGTGTCGATATACTACATGCGAATTGAGCTCCCTGAGATTGATAACGGGGCGAAATTCGCCTGTTTTCTTCCTGACCAGGAAGATACTGCTGTAGAAACCGGTGGCATCCGGAGACGGTTGAATGGCACCCTTGGAGCGGAGTTCTCGGAGTTCCGCGTCTATAAGGCGGGCATCTGCTCGTGTAGTCTGGATTGGACGTGGAGGGGTCAGCTGGAGCGGGGTCGAGTCGAACTCTATTCGATAGCCCTGCACCGTTTGGATTATCCACGCATCTGAAGATAGTTCTTTCCAGTTCTGGAAAAAAAGAGAGACACGACCTGCGATATGACAGGGGGTTAGAGGAAGAGTAAGATTCCGACTTACCGTTGGAGAATCTTGCTCGTGAGCGTCCTCGGGTGCCTCGGCCACGATCAGATCCCCTGAAGTGGTTGAATCTATTTCGACTAGATGAGTCTGGGTAGAACATCTGAGTCCTTGTTGTACGGGGGCCGGATGGCCAAAAACGGCTGGCGGCACGGCCCCTCTGCCGTCCAGCCCTTCCAAAAACACCACGGGTGTGGGAACCGCGGAAGACTTTCCGCATTGAAGATTGTGCCTTGTTAAGGGACGTGAATATGTTGACCCTTTTATTTAATTCCTTAAGGAAGGCCTCTCCAAATAGTTTACCCTGTGCTAAGGGTCCTAATTCCTTATCCCCCAGTTCGACCAGTTTTTCGTCGATACGGTAAAGTGCTGCTCGGCGCCTCTCCGAAGAGAGGGCTACGTTGGTGTTCCCTAAGAAACAGAAACACCTTTGTGCCCATTCACGGGTATCTCGTGCCCATTCACGCACCGTATCTGGGGTAAAAGTGTCAGCCCTCTCATAGGCTTCATCCGCCATATCCATGATTCTGGCTAGTGGCCCAATGGCATCTAGCAGCTTATCTTGCGCTCCTTTAAAGCCGCGCTCTATGCCCTTGCGCGGATCCCGACCCCCTCGGGACATGAACGTAGTCATGAGCGGGTCAAACTCGGGGGTGTGCGTCACTTTGTCCGGTAGACTAGGGCGAGGGCATTCGGATCTCATCCGGTTTCTAACCTCCTTGTCTAGCGGTTTTCTGAGCCAGAAGTGCATAAACCTTGCCAAATGCTCAGGTGGAGACCATTCTTCCGAACGGGGGTGCCGGATGTTTCTTGGGTCAAACATTTGGAGGCCCGAATTGTCGAGGAAAATCTCCGAGCCCTCCTGTGGGTTATCAATGGATGTTGCCATGGAGTTCTGGGGCTCACCCAGACCCTGTTCCCTTATGAAGTAAGGGTCAGAGTTGGCCGTGGAATCCCTGTCGGAGTCCCCCTGGTCAGAGGCTGCCGCCTGCCATTCATCCAGCACAGCTAGTGCCTGAGTGGGTTCTACATCTTCCTCACCTGAGGAAAGTTGTGTGGCATCGTGGGTAGCACGAACCGTGGCTTTCCTGCGATCAGCAGGGGCTTTCCCTTTAGCCTTGCGTGGGGTTACATTGCCCTTCCAATGGCGTTTTCGCCGTTGGGAGTGTTCCCTGGAAGAGTCAGAGTCTTCGGAGTCCGCCTTATAATGAACCCGTTTAGAGGTGGGCCTGGGAACCTCAGGGTTTGTTTGGAGCGACTTGGAAGCGGCTTGTTCCATGGCTGCAGCCACGGCTGCTGTTATCATGGCCTGGAGGTCTGGGGTTTGTGATTCCTCCATTATGAGGAGTGAGGATTCGGGGCTCACCCGGTAAATTGCGTGAGGGCACTAGGCACGATTAATGGAGAGGCCTGGGACCGGGGTGGTATGGTATCAGGACTAAATAACCTGTGGTTAGAGACCGGTAGGTCGTAGAGGAGAGGGCTGATTCACTGGGGCTCACCCAGGTGATCGGAACCTGCATAAACAGGACCGTTTAGCAGCGTAAAATGGGGGCTCACCCCGGCCAGAATAAGGTGCAGACCAACTGGCTAAACCAACCCCAAGTGTAAGGCACTAACCTGGTCCCACTGAGTGAAAAAAGGGTAAGGCTTTCAATTGCTTGTTGGAATAGCAGGAGCAGAAAAATCAGGCAGTGTCTATCTCTTTAAGATGGCCGCCGGACTGACAGGCTCAGTGTGTGGAGAATAGTACCTCCCCCAGTTTGGGCGGCAAACTGTAAGCTAGCCATTCGCATAAAACTGCCGAACGTGAATAGAAAATCTATGCGAACTGCCGAACGTGCGAATAGAAATAGATGCGAACGTTTAAAAAGGCGATCGCGTCAAACTGCCGAACGAAGCGTTCGGTAGTTAGAAACGAATAGTCAATGTGCGGTCGCGCGGGCATTCGAGTAAAACAGGCGAATGCGCAAAACTACCGAATAACGCGCTCGGTAGAAAGAACAGAAAACTGTTAAAGAGAAACAGAGAAAATGGAGGAAAAGTACAGACGGCGGGAAAGCCGTGAAAGACAGTTAGGGAGCCAGACAGGGTCCCCTGGTATACAGGGGTTAAGAGCATTAATAGGGTAAATATATAAAGGTACAGTGAAACAAAAGGTCATGTAAATGAAAAGTGTATGTTGAATAGATAATACAAAATTTGGTACTTAGCTTGTGATGGAGCAGCAAAGAAAGAGGAAATGATGTCATAGGTCTCACCTCTTATACCCTATTCTACGTTGTGATTGGTTAAAAGTTTTGTCACTCATTTCTTTGCTGCTATGGAGATAGTAAAGAAAGATTATGCAAAATACGAAGCCTCCTGTCATGTGATAAAATTTTGTTTTCGGGACTATAGATTTTCTTTAACCTTGCTCCTTCAACATCAATCGTAAATATGTAGCATTAAACTTTCATCTACAGCAATACCCTGATACTGTGCTGACACTGTAATTATTACAAAAATAGTGAATTAAAGAGCCACTGTTCCAAATGATTTAATTTTCAGAACTCTGCTTGTTGCTCCAACTGGTGTTGCCCCCCCCCAAAGAACACCAAAGTCTATTTTTATATGGATTTAATTGTTTCTAACCCAAACTCTGTCGCATGTACTAATTTGTTTTCAAGTAGCTTAAGCATTTCACTGTGGCAGCCATTTGAGGTTAATACCATGACAACCGCTACGTAGTTGAAAGACATTACTTACTGTCTGTGGTGCACACTCGTGCGCCCAATAAATGTATTTTCCTTCATAAGCTGTTAAACAGTACTATTTTTCATTTTTACATTAAACCAGGAAATCACTTTTGCCTCTATTACATAAGCTAGCAGAAAAGATTCTGACACTGAGTGCCTGGGAATCTTTTTTGCTGCCTTAACGTGTTGGGATTGCTGGTCCTGTTCCGGAGCACCTGTGGCCGCTGGGAGTGAGTGCTGTTCCTGTGATCAATTTTGCTATCTATTACATAAGCTAACATTAAAATGACTTTGAGTCTTAAAGGTTTTGTATTGTTTTGCATTTTACCTATTTGTATTTTAGGTTACTTTTGGACCTTTACATCTTTTTCGAAATATGTATTTCTCAAGGCGAGTCAAAACTTGTTCAACCACAGCCTTCCTCACCTCATGTATCTCTCACCATTATTTTGTCTGTCGATTACTTACTTTTATACCGTATATTCTCTCTGTATGAAGTTAAGCTCTAGGGAATATATTATTACTATAAAAATACTAATAATTATAATAATAATATTAATAGCAAATGTTTTACAAGTGGTATATTAAGCTTTCTCTCATTGGGATAGTGCACAAAAAGTGCTGCCCTGTAATAGTAAAAAAAATACACTGGTGGAGGTGAATCAGTAAACTAAAAAACATATTGCTGCTAAGATATTACTTTGATTATTTAATTTCCCTCCTGGGAAGAAAAAAAATGAAAAAGAGCAAGAACATATTCATTTAAAAAAAAGGATCTGAAAACCAATCTATGAAATTTATTCAATATCTATATCCAACCTATTCCAAATATTTAAGAGGCACTGTGACATTTTGGAAGCATTGCAGAATTTTCAAAGTTCCAAACTGTGACATCGCCGCTGGTAGTCCGGTGAGCAAGGGGGACAGGTAAAGGTGAGCTTACGTGCCTAAACCTGTCCCCTGCAGCCGCTGCCATCTTGCGTGGTCCTCCTAGTCCCTACTTTGTCCTTTTATATCTCTTGACTGGAATGAAAATTTCAATGAAATTCCAACAAATGGAAAAAAAAAAAAAATATCCAGGCACACCTGAGGTTTCTTCTAAAAGGCCGTCTTTATTTGAAACAAGGAAGTGGAGATGTTTCGGCTCCTCTATGAGCCTTTATCAAGTCTACTCCAACACAGTCATAATGAGTATTTCATAAAGATTCTGTCTTTATGAAATACTCATTTTTTAAGGGGAGGGCTGTGACAGTGCTGCTTTAAATACATTTTTAAAGCCTCCAGCAGTTTTGGTGTTAACGTCTCAAGATACCCAGGGCAGGCATTGGCTTATCTTATTGTTAGATAGTACAACTGACTGCGATATCAAATGCTAAAGCTTTAATAGAAGGAAAAAATAAATCTAATAAAGTCATTCAGAATTTAGGACAAAATAGCTTAAGTCTATTCTATTTTAAATTATTCAGTCAATGTTTACATTTTGAATTTACTACAATTAACATTTTAGTAAATAACCCTGAAAGGTTTTTGTTTTGTTTTTCCCTAAAACATGTAATCTCCATAAAAGAGACTGTGTCCCTTTAAATGGCCGTTTGCCCCTCAGGCTGGTTGCCAAGGGAACAGGAAACCTATGGAGCACAGCAAGCGGAAGTTATGTCTCAGCTACAGACTGGTAAATCCATCAGCGAATCAGGAAGCGGGAAAGAAAACCGTCTTCCAATGAGCTTGTTGGTGTGGGCGGGACTTCCTGCGGCCTTAGTAACCGCATGGTAACGCGCCTGGAAGCCCCGAATTCCCGCTCACGTTTACAAGAGTCACCCAGGGCCTCGGGGAGCCGTCAGTTAGTCCGCGCCGGTAGCTCACCGCCAGCCCCGCTTTACTCTCTCCTCTCGCAGAAGAAGATCCGGCGCCATGAAGATCGAGGAGGTGAAGAGCACCACGAAGACCCAGCGCATCGCAACCCACAGCCACGTGAAGGGCCTGGGACTGGATGAGAACGGGCTGGCCAAGCAGGCGGCCGCCGGGCTGGTGGGCCAGGAGAACGCCCGGGAGGTGAGGGAGGGAGAGGGGAGGGTGTACAAACCATAGAAACCAATAACTGTGACATGTCAGCCCAGAAACGAGTGCAAGCTCTTCGGGACACACTGGTGGAGAGCACCTGGAGCATGTGTTGTGTTCTAGTTACTGAAACACCCATCGCTTTATCGTGATTGATGGTCAGTGCATGAAATGTGCAATAAAGAAAACAATTACTTGCCCACTATGCCAAATCCCTGTGCACATTCATTAAACCTCCAGTCAATTAAAATGTTCATAGGAATCTGGGATAGTGAGCAACTCACGCTTTTTTCTTTGGTTTTTAGTTTATGTATTGGTGCAGATGCATACTATAGTCATTGCTGCTGCCCAGGAGTAGTAAGAGTTTGAGTTGTTATTATAATGTTAATATTTATAGAGCGCCAACAAATTCCGCAGCGCTTTACAATGGGTGGTCGAACAAACATGTAATTGTAACCAGACAAGTTGGACACACAGGAACAGAGGGGTTGAGGGCCCTGCTCAATGAGCTTACATGCTAGAGGGAGTGGGGTAAAGTGACACAAAAGGTAAGGATAGTATTAGACTAATGACAGTTGCAAGAGATGAATCAGTCAGGAGCTATTAACAGTTTAATTTGCTTTTATGAAGAAGTGGGTTTTTAATGATTTGTTTTGAAGTAATGAAGACTGGGTGAGCATCTAACGGAGGAGGGAAGTGAGTTCCACAGGAACGGTGCAGCCCCCGAGAATGTGCTAGATACTGCATTGAAGCACATTTTAATGTACTTTCAAGTTGGAGGGAGAAGTGATGTGTCTAGTGAAACATGGTGCCAAGCTGAGACATATGTTTATAGCAACAATTGGCACTGGCACAAACTTGTTACAGTAGTGAGTTCAGTTCTGGAATTTAAAAGTCTTTTATAATCAACCTAACAACGAAAGCTTGGTATAATGCTTATGAGTTGCCTGTGGTTCCCCATGTGTGTGTTTTTTTTATTTTTTTTATTTACAATTATTACAATCTTTAGATTTAAAATGAGGCTGTACCTAGTGCGGAGGAGATATTTATTGGTGACTGGTGCTGGGGGTGGGTTAACCCAGCACACCTAGCTATTAACTCATCCAAGTTGGACAAAAATTACGCAGTTACATAAGGTTCTAAAGCAAGGGTAGGCAATCTTTTGCACTGCAGATGTTGTGAACTACATTTCCCATAATGTTATTTCAGCCATAATGCTGGCAAAGCATCATTGGAGATGTAGTCCACAAGGTCTGGAGTGCTGCAGGTTGCCTAAAACTGTACTGAAGAGAGTTTATACCCCCAAAATAAAAGCATAAACACGCCTTCAAGCATTCACCAAATTCTCACTGCAGCCGTAAAACATGACATTCTGCTTTCAAGACATTGCTCTTCTGCACTTCAAGGGGAGGGATGTCACAGAAGCAGGACTGAAGCAGTGCTTAGGGTACTCAGAAAAGTTTTTGTTTTTTTTAAAAAAAACCTTTATTTTCACACCCAATTCCAGCATCAATTTCCCTCGCTGCTGGGTCTGCGATCCATCTCCGCGTTGGGCCCTCCCCATAAGAAAGCATTGCTTCAATGCTTTCCTATGGAGATTCAACTGATGCCGGATGTCCTCATGCAGAGGGGAGAGGTAAAAGCTCCTAAGCAGGAGCATTTGTTAGCGCTCCTTACCAGTGTGCATCAGCTGATCGCTGTCAGCCAGTGACTTGAGCCCTGCACCACCAGGCTTAACTCAGACAGAGAGCTGGAAGCTGTCTGTCTGAAATGGGGATGTAGTGGATTATAACACTATTTACAATGGTGGGTAGGGGGCAGAACACTCTTGGTACCATAACCAATGCAGCCTTAAACTTATACATACCTGAAGTTGTGTACCTTTTCCTTCAACGTAGCTATCACATGCAGATTTGCATGTATTGCTCATAATGAGATGTTCTTGTCGTGCACATATGACACAATGGCACTTTCTAAGAATAAGCATTTGCTGTATTGTAGAAAAATATAACCTCTCTTCATACTTGAACTTCGTTTCCTCCACAATGCATGCTGGGACTTGTGACCGGCCATGTTTGGCATTTTGGGAATTCGCAGATATATTTGCAGATAACCAGAACCTGACAAATTCTGAAAACATTTTCAGAGTGTCATATATAGATCACATTGAAAAATCTACCTGCCATCCATATGTTTATGAGCTGAGAGATTCTCATGAAATGTAATCCAAATCATGGAGGATTAGCCAACATTATTTAAAAAAATAAAAATCTGCTCTAGTGCGTAATTGGCAGTATTTGTTGATTGGTTTTCATTTCATGTGCCTTTTGATCTTCCAGTGCTATAGGTTAGGGTACTGGCAATGAAGCAGTACTAAATTTGGAAGTCCCTAACACATTGGAAACCTTGGCAGTGGTGCAGTACACATTTGGAACGTCCTCTGACAAGCTCATTCTTATGGACTTAAGTGCAGTTAATTGAAGGCAGCAGGCACTTGTTGTGAACCGCAAAAAGGAATGTTTGTGCAAAAGCAAATGATCAAAGGTGTATGGATACTATTCATTAGTATGCTCAGTTCAGCTCTTTCCTCCTCAAACGGTATAATACAGGGTCAATCAAGGTGAAATCAGTTTGATTGCATTTGGCCATAGTAAGCAGACAGGTGCTTGAGAATTTTCCAGAATCCACATTTTGTGTCAACTAACTTTAAGATCAATGACATTTTTTATTTTATTTTTTGCTTGTGTACTCTGAATACTGCACACTACATATTTTAGTGGTGTTACTGTGGGGTCAATAAACTGTCACGAGAAATGTGTTGATTCTTCTTTAAAGGAGATCTGCCACTGACAATGATTGTTATTACTTTATTTGCTTGTCCACTCTGTCTGTGGGGTATGGAAAAAGCTATCTTAACATTAGAAACCAATTTATTTTTGGCATTGGTGTTTCTTACTATGTTTGCAGTTGTATTGACTTCAAGTCAAGTCCAGTGCTTCGGGGACATAGAGCGCATGCATCACTTGCCTCTTTGAGAGAAGCATTGGACGTGACTTCATCATGCTTTGTGTGAAGATCTTGAAAATAAAAGGTGTTCAATGGGGAACAATAAATCTGACAGCAACTTGAGTGTTTTTAGGTAAAAACCAAACATTTCTGTAAATTAAACTCAGTCCTCAACCAGATTGCATAAATATTTAATATTACTCGATTTCATTAAGTGACATTTAAAACATCCTTATAACGTTTTTTTTTTGTATATATTCTATTATATTATGTAAATGTGTGCTGGGGGCTGGTTGTACCCACAGGATACGTGACTTAGGCAGCCAAGAACTCCGTGCTTCCAGTGTCAATTCTGTGCATAAAATATGTCAGCGCACACTACTCACTAGCGGCAGACGTGATTTTCTTCTTGCAGGCAGAGCATCTACAAGGGAAAGATTGCAATCCTCTACCTCCTTTGCACCCAAAAGCACTTCCTACAGTCTACCGCCATTGCCCTCAGAATAAAAATATTTCAAAAGGCAGCTCCTGCTCTTTGAACTGGCGAAACTGATTAATCAGTCTGCAAACGGCCCCTGTGAGATGTAGGTGGGGGGTGCAATAATCCGTGTTGGGAGCTTCGTCTGGCAGTCTCTAGAGGTGTTTCTTGGGTCAGTACTTGATAGAGTGCAGCACTGACGTTCAGCTTCTCGACGCATAGCGCAGAGATGCTGAACATTTCTCATAGAGATGCATTCAATGCATCTCTGTGAGGAGATGCTGGGGGGGGGCGGCTTACATGTGTGTTGTTGTTTTTTTGTGTGTGTGTGTGTGTGTGTGTGTTTTATTTATTTTTTTTATTTTATTTTTTTTAAAGGACCCTATAGTCACCAGAACTACAGCTTAATGTAGTTGTTCTGGTAAGTATAATAGCTCCCTTCAGGCATTTTCATGTAAGCACTGCCTTTTCAGGGGCACCTCCAAGTGGCAACTCCTCAGATGGCCACTGGAGGGGCTTACTGGCTCAGGGCTGCACAGTAAGCAGCTCTGCCATTCAGCGTCCCCACACTCTGCATGGAAACGCTGAATTTTTCTCATAGAATTGCATTGATTTAATGCATCTCTATGAGGAAGTCCTGATTGGCCAAAATGCATTTGGCCCTGCCCTGTGCCATTTTAGCCAATCCAATGCTTTCCTTATGGGAAAGCATTGGATTGGCTAAAAATCGGCCAGTTTGGTGTCACAAAGGGGGTAGGGCCCGCGGCGGCAGACCCGTACAGCGCTGGAAATAAGGTGAGTTTTAATCTTTTATAGGGGAGCTAAAGGGGGGCAAGCCACCTAAACGGTGGGTTTAGCACTATAGGGTCAGGAATACATGTTTGTGTTCCTGACACTATCTTGATCCTTTAACACTTGTATTCCTGACTCTATAGTGTTCTTTTAATCAATCATCATATCTTAAAATATACCCAAATTAAATTGCATGTTATATAGCCTGATGAAGAATGGTTTCAAACCTGTTCTCATACAGTAACATAAGGTGTCAGTTATGTTAAAAGCTACAATGTATAACTATCTAAACACATTTCTTTCGATAGTGACAACCAAGCAATAAATAAGGAGCAAAGAAGCAAATTATATAGAAGTATTTGTTTAATCTTGACCTATCTCTTAAACCAAACACCGCAATTGATCATTAGACAGCCCTTGATCGATTTAAAAAAAAAAAAAATGCAATGTCATTCTGGTATAAGGTATGCAAAAACGTTTCACCCAGATTTGTACAGCACTACGAAATTTGCTGGCGCTATATAAAAAAAACATTTTACTCCATGCAGACCACACTCTATGTATGTAATCAGGAGAGCCAGGAAATATATTTTGGCATTTGTGTTCTGTCAATTGGTCTTTTAATGAGCAAAGCCATCTTCTCTATTATTTTGTATGTTGTTTACATGTTGTCAAATATCCTAATTTTAGAATTGTAAAGTGCTGTGAAATATGTTGGTGTTTATAGAAATGGTAATAATTATAACTGAAAGAGAGAAGAAATTTATAAGAGCACACAGAATGTTCTACACATTTACATAAATTTTACATGGTCATATATGAGCAACCTGACCCCTGCTATAAATAAAGCTGCTTTTCCCAATTTCAAAGAATAATTTCTTTAGAGTCCCTGTGGGCACCATTATAACTTCATTGATATGAAGTTGTAATGGTGCCAGGATGTCCCTGGCGTGGACTTCCTCTTTAGGAGTTAAACTAACACAAATGGTTTAACCCCAAAGTCTCTACTTCAGTACTGGATCGCTGTGCCTCCCCTTGCCTCCAACATCAATTTGCTGGAAAACTTGTAAAAGGAAGCTAGGAGAGCTGCAGGCAGGGGCACCATAAATTGGCTTAGAGCATTCAGCTGGTGCTCTTAGCCAGTTAGTGGCTCCTCATTCAGAAAAATGGCTTGAGTAGCCACCGATCTAAGCCAATCAGCAGCACCCCAGCCTGCGCCATGACCATGGCTTGTGTGGGTTTTTTTTTTGGTTTTTTTTAAGCTTTTCAGCAAGTTGATGGGGGCTGAGTGGTCCGGCACTGGAGAGGAGACTTTGAGGTTAAGCCATTTGGACGGTAAGCCAGTGTCTGAGACCTCTTGGCACTATTACAACTTTATATCAATGAACGTTTGATATAACGTTTAAATTGAAAACAAAACTGGTTCTACTAACCCTCCTCAAAGGCATTATCCTGGTATATATGGTATTCTTTTGGCATGATTGGCATATTGTAGCATCTAGTTTACTACAATTTCCCTCCTTTTTCTAATACAATTGTGAACCCTTTAGTACAGTGAAAATATATATATATATATATATATATATATATATATATATATATATATATAATTTTTTTTTTTTTTTTATCCCAACCCATATATGGTTGATGTAAAACCTCTGTTTTTCCCATTTAAATTGCAGGCATGTGGCGTAATAGTGGAGCTAATTAAAAGCAAGAAAATGGCTGGGAGAGCTGTGCTTCTGGCAGGACCTCCTGGAACTGGCAAGGTATCTTATTTTTCAACATGTTTTTCACCTGCATCCTATTTAGCAGTGGTTAATGCAAAGCATGAAACTTGGAATTTTATTTTTATTTATTTATTTATTTTGGGGAGTTGAGAGAGACCCACAGTAATTCCCAGTAATGCCCCCTTGTGTTAAAATATTTATAACTCTGAAAATCCCATTACATAGAAATCTAAACTCACTGACTTTTGAGTGTTTTTTTAGCTTTTTCAAAACTTATGTCAGGTAGGATAAAGTTCTCACTGATCCTGGTTTAATCTGAAATTTACCTATCTACCATGTGGTTGACCCTATAAGGATTTGTTTAATTTAACATGCGTGCAATGGTGAGGTTCCTTGAGATTCGGGTGTGGAAGCTGGTACTTCCCAAAACAGTCTCATCTCTCTGGCCATAACTAGGTATAGGTCAGGAAAGGTACAGGGAAGCAGCGACTCTGGGTGTCCTCAAATTCATATAGTGTGAGTCAATATGAAAAATATGAAGACAGAATATAGTGTACTATATTCTATTGGTGGTGAGGTAAAATAAGAGAAATGCCACTTACAATTTTCTGGAGGTAATGTTCAGCTGCAGGTATGTGCCTGGGTGGTATGATCCCCGCATGTGAATATGTCGCTCAGCTTGGTTCCTTGTAGATGATTGGTCAGGGTCAAGGGCCAGTTGAAATGTCGAGCATTTACGGGCATTTTCCCTCCAAATTGCAGTTTTACAGATATTCATCAACTACATAAAATGAGAATAAAACCAGAAAATTGTGCTCTGTTTTGTTGGTGTAAATGCATAATAAAAGGAGGTATATTCACATAAGGAAAGAAATTTTTTTTTTTTTTTTGCTTAATTATCCTGTGTAGCGTAGGTGGTTTACTCCCCACCAAGCAGGTAAAAAGTGTGGCTCCTCCGGATAAAATCTTCAGGGATATAATTAAAAAAGTCCAGGTAAGGTAAAACTAGTTTTTATTTAAAACAAAAATAAAACCAATGACCTAAAACACTGACGCGTTTCACCCAAAGGGAGTTTCCTTTTTTTTTTTTTTTTTTTGCTTTTCTTATGCAAGTAAAAATACTTTTTATTTTGCTTTTTCACCAACAAAACAGAGAGCTAAACCATGCCATGATAGGGTTAGCTTGTTGGCCGAGAGCAATCATCTGACTCTTTTTTTTTAGCCAATGAGGTAGCCCTGCACTGCATAGCTTAACTCAGGATCGCCAATAACTAGGAGTTTCCGGATATATGACTGAGATCATCACCTGGAAGTTTCCAGATAAGAAGTCAAGTTCTTTTAAAATGGTTAGACTCTTTACTATGGGGTTGGTGCCAAAGCACGCCTGGTGTTCTTTTTAATGGGACACTCTAAGCACCAGAACCACTCTGCCAGAGAAGTAGCAATGGCAGCACAGAGACCAGCACGCCAAGGGTTAAGGGAACGAAGTAAAGTGTGGGGGTTTTTTTTTTTTTTTGTTTGTTTGTTTTGTTTTTGTTGTTTTTTACGAGCTGTGGGAGCCTACAGTAGGTAGGAAAACACTAACTTTCAAAATGCAGATTTGTATGTCTAACTTTAGTGTTCCTTTAATGTTGATGTTTTTTTAGCCTACTCCATATTCTCTATTAACAGTGAGGGAGGATAACGAACATAATATATTTTACACTAGAGGGATATGGACAGTACAGCACTTCATAGTAGAATACATACAATGCATAATTTAAAAAAATAAAATTAAAATATTTTCACTTCAAGAAGAACTTTAATCGGTGTGCTTTCTTAAGTTATGGCTGACTGTTTTTATTTACATTGCATGTAATTTAAACATTAAAGGACCACTATAGTGCCAGGAAAACATACTCGTTTTCCTGGCACTATAGTGCCCTGAGGGTGCACCCACCCTCAGGGTCCCACTCCCGCCGGGCTGGATGGCAAGGAAAGGGGTTAAACTTACCGGGCGGCGAGCACTTCTCTTCGGCTGAATGCGCATGCGCGGCAGGAGCTGGGCACGCATTCTGCCAGTCTCATAGGAAAGCATTTACAGTGCTTTCCTATGGACGCTGGTGTCTTCTCACTGTGATTTTCACAGTGAGGAGCACGCAAATGCCTCTAGCGGCTGTCAATGAGCTGCTATGTTTATTTAAAAAAGGGTTAATCCTAGAGGGACCTGGCACCCAGACCACTTCATTAAGCTGAAGTGGTCTGGGTGCCTAGAGTGGTCCTTTAACTTTAAACTTATTATGGTATTTTTTTTTTCTGCTAAAATTTTGTCCTTTTCCAGGAAACATTTATGCTCTAAAATATATTTGCTTTGTTTTTCACAATTATAGACTGCACTGGCTCTTGCAATTGCTCAGGAATTAGGTAGCAAAGTCCCTTTCTGTCCCATGGTTGGTAGCGAAGTCTATTCCACTGAAATCAAGAAAACAGAAGTTTTGATGGAGAATTTCCGCAGAGCCATTGGTAAGTGGTAGAAACATTTTAATTTACTATTACTTGAAAAAGTAGTTTGATTTTTAAACTGTGTTTTTGTTTTTTTTTCTTTCTCTCTTCCATCATGACACTTGGTTATCGTCTATTGGCATGCATTGATTCCCTCCTCTTTCAATAGAGTGTGCGTGAAATGAAACTGCATTCAAGGCGCCAACACCGCTTTAATGCATTTTATTGCTTTTATTTTAAATAATTTTTGTTGAAATGTTCATAGCCATCCCTCGCAGTGGAGGTTAACTTCCAGCACTTTGCTGTTAAAGTATAGGATGCATTATATTCACACAACTGATGTAAGAAAGTCATATGAAACACGTGGAAGCACATGCAATAGGGCAGAAATGCGAAGTGATTTATAGGCATGCCCACCTGTGCTCTGCAATGTCATACATACTATCTCTGTACACACATCAACATCCCCAGTCTACCCCCCCCATGCCCATCGCCGCCTCACTTCCACTCCGGCTCCAATCCATCCGTCATCCCATTCCTGGGGCCCCTATCATAAAATGTTGTGTGAAGGAACTACGAGCTGTCTCTTGTTGTCTGTGGTAATCGGCTGGATTGCAGCTGCAGCACTTGTTCGTGGCTCCTTTTGGGTCATCCCCCTGATCATTAGCTTTAGTAGGTGTTCAAATGTCCCTATTTGTGATCTGACCTTCCAGGAGGGGGCCTGTACAGAAAAATTCTGGAAGTTGTAGTTAAATTTCTGTTTTTCCTCCCTGTGTCCTTCCTAACCGTGTCAAATCATGCACAATCATGCATAGAGAGGAACTCAAGCAGTTTACAGCACTGTGTTGACTCTCAGGATCCTGCTAGTCAACACAGAAAATGGTGATATGACGCTGAAGGGAAGTGAGTACTAAGTAGCCAGCCAATGACAAGATAGACAAAGGACATGGTTCTTGGCTATAGCTCCAACCTTTGTCTACCTTCAGGTTGCCCACGAGGAGATATAACACATTATCAAAGTGAATCTATAGTCTTCAAAATAACACCCATCCATTTGCATTTAAAAAATAAATTAAAGACCCACTCCACTGGCCAAATACATAAAGAATAAAGCTCATTGTTTAGCATATATGTCCCTAATGGAGTGATCTAAAAACAGCTTGCAAAAGCTTCAGATCTCCTGTCTGCAGCCTTTAAAATCCCTCGCCTTCTAAACAATCTCTGCTCAGTGAGAAGTCTTTGCAAGGCAGGTGCCTTAAACTAAAAGTGCAGATTTCTATTGAAATCTGCACTTATGTAAATGGAATAGTAGACACACTTTTTACACATAAAGCACTTTAGGAAGATGGAGTGCTTTGGGGATCTGGAGTGTCCCTTTAAAGGGACACTCCAGACACCCAGACCACTTCTGCCCATTGGAGTGGTCCGGGTGCCAACTCACACTACCCTTAACCCTGCAACTGTAAATATTGCAGTTTTCATAAGCTGCAATATTTACCTTGCTGGGTTACCTCCTCCTCTAGTGGCTGTCACTTCCGGGTTTATAGCACACATTTTGTGTGCTATAGCGTCGCTGGACGTCCTCCCGCTATGTGAGGACCTCCAGCGTCGCTGAAATCCCCATAGGAAAGCATTTTCAATGCTTTCCTATGGGGAGGTCTAATGCGCGTGGGAGTGCTGCCTTAAGAGACTTTAGTCGTTCCTCTGGTTTTTGCATAAATCATTGGAGATGTAGCAAATTTATTTATCTCTTCCATGCATGAGAGAGGGCATCTCATACACGAGTGCTCCTTTAACATTTTTCAAAACTATTGTACAATTTGTGAAGAGAAAAATCTGTACAATTGACTACTTTTCCTCTAAAGAATATTAAAGATTGTAACTGATTTTATTACCGACTTTACATGAAAAGTATATATCAAAATCCAGAGAGAACAAATGTGCTGCGTATTGAATCCTGGCAGTGCATCATTTAAAAACCCCAAATTAAATGGACTGTGACAGAGGCGGTGTGTCAATACAGCGATCGAAGAGGATCACCAAAGTGTCTTTATTGAAATAGCCAGCAATGGTCTTCTAAAACCCTGCGTCCGCCATCCAGACAAATCTTCTTTTTTAATCCCAGAGTCCAATAAAGCTTGACCCTTTATTGATTTTTCTACAAAGAAAGGGACCAGTCTGCATTATGTAGTGTTTAAATTCCTGTCAAGTCAGTGGAAGGGGAGGGGTGGGGAAACTCTTGTAGTAGAAATGAAAAGAGAGCAGTCTACAATATTTCCTCAGTGTGATGAAGTTGCCTGTCAGGGATTTGGAAATTTGAACCAACAGATGAAACTCGTGTCCTCTGTGTTGTCACTCGCAGAGATAAGACTCAGAGTGAAATCATCACTGAGAACTGCTTCTATTGTTACCCCGAACATTCTCTAAATGTCAGCACAAGGAAAGGTTCTAAACAAATATTAGATTTAGTGAAAGACTGGGGGATTCTTTAGTGGAATTTCAAATTTTGTGCAAGGAATGGGATTAAAAGTAAGCACTCCTAATAGGATTCCTTCGTTCTCTCTAAGTGAAAATCATAATCTACCAAATTGAACCCCTGCAGAATCCATAGCACCTTTTAATTGCAGACAAAGCAAGTGTTTTGTGATATGGTAAGCCATGGCTTACAAATATTGTATGAGGGCCTTTTTTTGTTTGTTTTTCCCCACCATTGGACATGTTAATAGTGTGCAAGATACATAGTTACATTTTCAAGTATTCAAAGGAATAAAATGTATATTTTTAAATATATAAAATAAACATTTGCCAAATATCACTTCATTGATAAACCTTTTATTTTTTTTCGTAATAACGTTTAGTTGTTTCCTAGTCGTGTGATAGTTTACGGTTTATATTTTGAATGGGTTCTCAAATTTATGGACAGCTTGTCATTATTTTAGTCCCCCCCCCCCCATTTCTGCATTGTGATTGGCTGAAGATGCATTTTCACTCTTTATTCTTTCTCCCAGTTTGCATGCTCACTCTTTATTCATCCCGATTATTGCTCCATATGCTCTCTTTTATGACTGCCCATTAATGTTCATTTTCGCTATTTGACAATTTTACCTAATCTGATCTAACGCTGCATCGTGTACTCTCCCAACAGATTGCCCTGGAGGTTGCATAATAAAAAGGGAAAGCAAAATGGGCACTTGTGCTATTTCAGCAATGTTGGGTGGGAGGAAAAGGGGTGGGGGGGCACAAAGGAAAATGTCTCTTTTAATGTTGAACAAATCAAAATTTTTCTACTTCATGCATGGATTATTCTTTTTAGCTGAATTTGAAGTTATTTTTCTCCTCCGCAAGGGCAACAGAAAATTGTTTCTGCCAATGATTTAAGCTGCTTTCATGTACTAGTAATAAATTGTGTATTAGAGGCCAGCCCGTGATCTTATTTAAACTCAAATTTTACAGCAGTCGTAATTCAGAGGGCTTGCTGTTGCTTACTTGTTCTCCCATTTGTCTAAACACTTTGAATAAGTTCACACTTGGATTGCAACATAAAATAACCATATAAACTCCTAAAGGACTGGTCCAGTTTACAGTACAGAAATTTTAGTGATGACATGTAACGAATACTAATTCATGTGCATAACTTGTCTTGACACAGTTGTAATGTGGGGGGCATACGTGAATTTGATTATACAGATAGCATGTAAATTAACCCCTTGGGGTTTGTTAAACTGTGTATCGTGTTGGACATTGACAACATAATTGCAGGTATTGCATTTAAAATAGCCAAATTGGAATAAGCTAACTGCTCTGCAGGACTGGTGGTTTGGTACAAGCACAACCCATTTAAGTTGGTGTATATTGCATTTGAGGATTATGGGAAGATTTGTGTTTTACTAATCGAAGCACACTACCATGTGAAAATGTCCCTATTACTTTTAGACTTGTGCACAAATCCCTTTCAGTTGCTTTGAACAAATGAAATGCCTGTCAATCTATAGACAAATGAATTGATTTCTTTGAGGCGGGTTATAGATTAACAGACATTTGATTTGTTCAACGCAGCCTAAAGTATAGAAGTGTGCTAGGTGGTGTGTCTTGAAGTTTGGAAGTAGTGAAGAATGGTTTATGGAGATTAAAAGAAATGAGCTTTTAATTGTAAGCATCTAAATGTTGGTACACATACTTAGGATTTACTTAAGATTACCAAACAAGTGGTACTTTCTGGATGCAAATCCCACGCGGCATATGGGTTGAGAAAAGGAGAACCTGACTTACTTATAGTGTACTCGTTGTGCAAAACATTTAGAAAACAGTTTGATCTACGCATTACTCTTGCTGCTAGAAAATGTATACATTTTATATAAAAATCTAAAAAGAAATTCTTACGCCTTTACAATTATTAAATTAACATTCAGGCAGCTACTATAAAGTTGGTTGCTCAACCAGATGCAATACATTTTCTCCTCCTTATGCTTGGAAGCAAGAGAACTCTACCACGGTTATTTACCAAAGTGAGAATTCAACTTTTTTGCTCAAAGTAGAACAAGTTTTTAAGTCAACTATGCTTTCAGTTCAGCTACTCTGGCCTTAAATTTGAATTCTCACGTTAACGCTATTCTGGTGCTTCAAATACAATGCGTTAAGTTTTCTCTATGTTGATTTGCCATCAGGTCTCCGAATACGTGAAACTAAAGAGGTTTATGAAGGTGAGGTGACGGAATTAACGCCTTGTGAAACAGAAAATCCAATGGGCGGATACGGCAAGACCATCAGTCATGTTATTATTGGCTTAAAAACTGCAAAAGGAACCAAACAGCTTAAGGTAGGTTCAAAATATATTCAATATAAGGTTTTCAAACTGGTTATTTTGGCCTAAACATTGCATTTTTTGTTTCTCCTGTACACTATTAATCCTTTGAGTAACACCTTGGAGATGCACAATCGCTATTCAGATCCCTTCTTATTCCCAAAGTGGGTAGACTTGATGTTACTTTCATTTGCATTCCAAATCTGTTCCTGCAGAAAATATATTACTATTTTTTGATTTGTGGAATTTTGTATTTTGCTAGATTTTTTTTGTTGTTGTTGAAGGGTAGGGATGTTCTTTTTATCCATCCAGCTATTCTTGTTCTTTTCTTAAATGTAGTTGCAGTGATCTACATAAACCAGGTCCCATTGCCTTCTGCAAAAATATCTGAATTTGTTTCTGTACTATTACATGTATAAGCCTTATGTAACTTTTTATACATTTATAATACTAAATAGATCAGTGTGTTTTGGATCTTTCTACATGCTTAGTCGAGGAGCAAGCTCATTTGTTTTTGCAAGTTATTTTAACTTTAATAATAATAAAAAAATTTTTAGTTCCAAACTATAACAATTATACTTTATAATAATACAATTTTTTTTAGTTCCAAACTATAACAATTATACTAACCTTAAAAGAAAAAACTTATCAGAATTATCAATGAGCAGCAGGAAATACCAATGGTCTGAAATCTCAAATTGATCTCCCTTTATTCCCACTGATTTGTATTGTTTTACAGCTGGATCCCAGCATCTATGAGAGCCTGCAAAAAGAACGTGTGGAAATTGGTGATGTTATTTACATTGAAGCAAACAGTGGAGCAGTGAAGGTAAAGAAGTGCAAAAGGAATAATGTGCTATATTGGCCCGATTGGAGTTTCTTATCTTGCAACCTTAAATCTCCACACATTTTGTAGTGAATACCTCTCATTTATGCTGTGGTGTTTTGTTTTTTCATAGACTTTCAACTGTTGTCTACATCTCCCATAATGCTCTTACAGCCATAGTGCTGCCAATACATCATCTGTTGTGCCGAAGCTTGCCTTCACGTTTGTTTTATTATTGATCGGGGGGGGGGTACAGTTATTTTTTTTATTTTTATTTTTACCATGTTGACTTCTCCAGTTCTAGATTCCTCATCCCACAATTGTCCAATATACACAGTGTGTGCATGTGAAGAAAAATCTACTTATGGTAGCCCAATCTACTTGTCCTGACACGCATTTGTTTCAGATTGGGGCTCTGGACATCAACAGAATTTCAGTTTTTTTTTTCATTTGCGCAAATTATGACTTTAATGAACAACCCTGTTTTTCTCATCCTCTGCCCCCTGTAATGTTTGTGGGCATACGCACTGGCTGAATGTATGTATTTGTGTTTTTGCCCTCCTCCTGGGTGGCTTTCTCCAGTAAGAAGGATTGGTGGTGTAGCAGAGCTGCAATATTAAATTCCACGATCTCCGCTGGTACAGAAAGTAATCCAAAGTAAGGCAATATCCCAAATCCCCCCAGTAACCGGACGAAACACAGTTCTGGGAGTCAACTGAGCTTTTATTCACAAGTCACAGTATTTATGCAAGTCCCCATGCAAGGTGTTTCCCTACTGACATTGCAGGGGTTATACAGTAGGGGACTACATGGGGTACCTAACAATCTGGACATTTCTCCCATCAGGCACTGCTGGACGAGAGGGATACTCCCACTGGAATATACCGTTAAGTGGATTATCCGTCCGTGCAGCAGAACCAACATTTTACATTAAAATAGATAACTTTTCCATCATTCACGTTATTTAAACGAATGGACGTTCTGTAGATAGCTGGGGTCTGAGTGCACATTTCGTGAGAATACCGCTCAGATCCCAGCATAAATAACCGAACGCCCTACGAAATACACTTTAACATTATGTTCGCCTAAAAGTACCGAACACCGATGGGGAACCAAAATAGTGAAAGAACAGAGCTCCCGAACGGCCTGGAAGCCCAGCGGTGTTCGCGCCGTCAAGTAGCTGATTTCAGTTCCACGCGCTCGACGACCAAACACCGCTGGGGAAACAAAGGATCCAAGATGGCCGCCCACCACGTGGTTGGTAGCTGAACGACTGCCACCTTGGAACGCAATTACCTACCGATTGCAATCGGTTAATGGGTGCCACCCGACCCTCTGTGTGTGGGCTCCTGGGTGGTATCTCATTCGTTTCACGAACAGCCGGTAAAGTCCCTGTTCGTGAAACGAACACATGAATGCTAGCGGCTTTCGGCTGCTAGCGTACGAATGCTTCAGAACATAGCAGTACATACATATATTAAAATATAACAGTCCAGCGGCTATTACAGACAATCTTTGCAGATACAGTCCAGTAACCTAAAAGTGGCTAGGTTTGCCACAGGTGGAAGTAATCCCTTGTGGTCCAGCTAGAGACCCAGATCCCTCATGGTTGGATGGAGTGTATATGTTCTGCACATCTGGTTGGTGCAGGCCACAGCTGGCTCTTCCTCAGTGTGCCAACACTCCATTATACAGAGCTCGGGTTGGGAATCCCAGTGGCTGTGCTTTGACTCAGTGAGTGCCAACCACCCACCCCTTGAAATGCATAGTGCCCAGAAAGTTTTTTCCTGGTTGTCGGGCAACAGGAATTCCTTATCCCTGTACAGTGTGTAAGAGTGTATCACAGAATTCCACAGCATTAATAAAACAATGTGTAGTCTGTCTGAAAGTATCACAGAACCCCTCCAGCAGATAGTTGCTACCAGAGACACACTTAGAGAAATGCTTTCAGATGTGCATTCCAAACACCTTCATGGTATACACACACAGACCCTGCCAGAGATACACATATACACACTGCCAGGCACACCTACACATTGGCAGTGTGTAGTGACTGGTAATATTTCTGTGTGGCAAAGCCACTATATGCACAAGTACACTGCTTATCATACTACTAGACACACAATGATATTTTTGTCTTTGTCTACAAGTTAGAAGCAGATGGGTGGCTGCCCTAAGCGTAATTGGGGACTTGGCTTGTAGAGGGCTGCCTAGGATCACGGCATGGATTTAAAGGACACTACAGGAATCATAACTACTTGAAGTTATTTTGGTGCCTGGGTTCCCTGTTTTTTTTAATATATATATTTTTTTTTTATTAAATCCTGTAGTGTTTGGTGTGACTTTACAAACCATAATATGACCTTTACCTGAAGGTTCTAGAACAGTCATTCACTCATTTCTCCCAGAGATATGTACACAGATAAAGCCTTAGTAATTTGGAGCACTACAATGGATGGCATTTATTTATAATTTTTTATTTATTTTTTTTAGTTGATTTTGAGACATTGCTATTTGACACATGTATTCTGTTTATCAGAGCTGAGCTTTGGTGATAGTTATATAATATTTATTTTTAAGACTGTTACATGAGTGTTTTTTTTTTTTGTTTTTTTTTAATATTACATGGTGATATGGAGACACTTGGAAAGGTTCTTTTCACAACTGTCAGAGAGGCTATGATCTGTAAGCAAGTTTGCTCTTTTTATACCTGTTGTCTGCAGCTTGTCAGGCATTTGGCAGTCATACGAACAGTGCACCTGTTACTTATACCTCCTCCCTCTCTCTCTTCCACCACACAGAGGCAGGGACGATGCGATACCTATGCTACGGAATTTGACCTTGAAGCTGAGGAGTATGTCCCTTTGCCGAAGGGAGATGTTCACAAGAAGAAAGAAGTGATTCAGGATGTCACACTGCACGACCTGGATGTTGCCAATGCAAGGCCGCAGGTAGCAACACAGACCACATAATGGATTGTATGGGAAAAGTCTGTTTACAGTATAGTATTCTGGTATACAGAGTGCTGCATGTTTTATTTTTTTTATTTTTTTACCCACTATACAAGTAAAGCTTGTTTATTTGTTTGATTTGCACTTGTCAAACATAGTCATGATATACAATAGACGATCACTGTCCACCATGTATAACAAAAACGAAAAGCAAATTAAAATACAAGTGATACGTCACGAGTAGTGATGTTCCGAACGGTTCGCCGCGGACTCATCATTGAGTAAACTTTGACCTTGTACCTTACAGTCAGCAGACACATTCCAGCCAATCAGCAGCAGACCCTCCCACCTCCTGGACAGCTCACTAAGAATGCAGCTTCAAAATGGATGCTGTACAGGAGGTGGGAGGGAGGGTCTGCTGCTGATTGGCTGCTGGGACATCACTAGTCACTAGTAACATTAAAACCATGATACAATACAAGATCTCTGTCAGAGTAGATTGTGGCATAATGTTGTACACAAGAGACATAAAGGTATCTTGTCAGTATTATTAATAAATGTACGTAAATAACTGAAGACGCTATAGGTAAGTAACATTGTGAACGTGCAGTACTTGTTTTTAATTATTTTATACCTGGGACATAGAAACATAGAATTTGACGGCAGATAAGAACAATTCGGCCCATCTAGTCTGCCCAATTTTCTAAATACTTTTATTCGTCCCTAGCCTGATCTTTATAGTTAGGATAGCCTTATGCCTATCCCACGCATGCTTAAACTCCTTTACTGTGTTGGACGATGGATATGATCTGTTATATAATGACAATAAGCTTTTTTTTATTAGATTATATTGTTATTAGATAGCATGGGAGATAAGTTTTTGGTTTTTGTTTTTTTTGGTTTTTTTAACTTGAATTCGCCCAGAAAGTCTTTCTTATGAGCAATGTTTTGGCTGTCATGTATTCTGTACACACCATGTCCTTATTTTCTACTCATGCATGTTTTATTTAAACATCTAGGGAGGACAAGACATCCTTTCTATGATGGGACAACTGATGAAGCCAAAAAAAACTGAAATTACAGGTGTGTACCACATTATGTTACTGCTGTTTGAAAAATTATGGAATATGGAGAGAGGGGAGAGGGAGGTTCCTCTTGCAGGCACACTGCCTGCAAGATTAGAAGCTAATTATACCTGTGCCAGTGTGCAGTGATGATAAATGTTTGCACAAAATTAAATTGGGTACCCCAGAAAAGCATTTCAGGCAGCTTGGGTCATGTGTTTGGTGTGTAACTAGCCCCACACTGCACATACAGATTCCTTGATCCACGATCACTTCAAAAAGCAGATGTGATGTAGAGTGGAGTAACCCATGTTCCTACCTGGAGTTGATATTTCCATTCACAGCTTTTGTGAGCCAATATGTAAATTTGGAAACCATTATTATTGATGAGGTTTATGCAGGTGGCAACCGAAAACATAGGAACTCTGAGATCGGGCAAAAGCTAGAAAAACTCTGTAGTTTGCCCTTCGGTAAATCCCCACTCAGGTCTCAAACTAGTGCCATTACAGAATGTATTTATATAATTTGCATATCAGACTAATCCCACCCATAAGTGCAGTCAATATCCAAAATGCAGATGGCAAGTTATGAGCTAGACAATTCTTAATAAGTTCATGAATTCTGTTTTTAACTTTTCTCCTTCATATTTTAGACAAACTGAGAGGGGAGATCAATAAAGTAGTGAACAAGTACATTGATCAAGGGATCGCAGAACTGGTACCCGGTGTGCTATTCATAGATGAGGTGCACATGCTGGACATTGAATGTTTTACCTATTTGCACCGGGCCCTGGAGTCCTCCCTCGCTCCTATCGTCATCTTTGCTACAAACCGTGGAAATTGTGTCATCAGGTACAGTGTTCAGGATCTCGAATATTTACATTGCTGGTAAATTATATGCCAAATGAGGAAACCTCCAGTTTGCTAGTTTGGTCTAAATTTGCAATTCCCTTTTCACTTTGTCACAATTTCCAGCATGGTGGATTTATTTATTAGAATATTAGTTTGTGGTTGCAGGTTATTAGACAATTTTTATCTCTGAGCGTCAACTTGTTTATAAGTATTCTCCCCTATTTGAATGTGCTTGGTTTTCCACTAAATGGCAATATGAATTCATAATGAAAAATACTTATTGAAATTTTTTTTTTTTTTTTTTTTAAATAGCTGCGACCAATTACATTATCATTACCGTTGTAGTGGTTATGTTGCCAGGAGTCCCCTGGTAATGTTGACAGTAAACTGTCCAAACTATTTAAAAACCTTTTTGACCTTTATCCGGGTCCCACATTGTTTCGTGTCTAAGCTAATATGCTAAAGTGTAGATTTATACTTCCGCATTATCATATCCACTCAAACCAAGTATGAACATTATTCATTAATTGAGAGTGTAGCCAGTGACTCTGTGCCAAATGATCTTGGTGCTTGGAGTGCCCCTTTATTTATTGCAGGTAAAGAACACGTGTTTGAGCTCTTCTTAAAGGCAGCAAGTGAGATCTCCTAGTTTAATATGACAAACTTGTTGCCTCATCAATTATGGAATTTATTTCAGCAATTGTACATAGCTGGTGTCTCCCCTGCAGGTTTATACTTATTTAAAAGCAAGCATTGTTGATTCCTGCTCATGGATTTAATGCCATCTAGTGGAAACTGGCTGGTACAGCTTTAAAATGTGTGCGTATTACTGTTTAGCTGTAGTTGTATATGCTTTGGGCAGAAGCATTTACAATTACTATTATTATTATTGACATTTATATAGCGCCAACAGATTCCGTAGCGCTTTACAATATTATGAGAGGGGATTTAACTATAAATAGGACAACTACAAAAAACTTACAGGAACGATAGGTTGGAGAGGACCCTGCAAGTACATTATGTATTTAGCAGAGGATTGTCGTGTGTACCCACTTTGTTGAATACAAGTTTTTTTGAACTCAGCTGTTCTGTATTCCACTATTCACCTTTAAATTCTCTCTGTTTGTATTATAGAGGCACAGAAGATGTACTGTCACCACACGGAATTCCCCTGGATCTTCTAGACCGAGTCATGATTATACGGACCATGCTCTACACTCCATTAGAAATGAAGCAGGTAAGCATGGTGCAAAATGAAAATAATAAATTATACCATGTTTTGTTTTGTAACAATAGACCGTTAGCATTCTTTTTTGCATGCATGATAAGAGATAGAATTATGTTCAGTAAAGTGAAGGCATGCGAAGCACTGTCATAACATTTTGCCCTATAGGACAAAAAAAAGTGATCAGTCTACACAAGCGGTGCTCAAAAGTTATAAATCTCAAAAAGCTGGGGCTCTCTGTTCTACACATGTTTATTATATATGCAAAATTGCTCGTGTAGTGTAGTCATTCTGCTGATACTTGTTCCGCAGCAATGTTCACACACTGTGATTTATATAATGGCGATTCTCTATGTCAGGGCTCAAAATTAGACTTATTATGTTGCTAGAAAAGCCTTAAAGGGGCACTATAGTCAACAGAACCACTATAACTTAATGTAGTGGTTCTGGCTTCTATAGCATGTCCCTGCAGTCTTAGTACGGTACACTGCTTCTTCAGAGAAACATCTGTGTTTTCATTGCTGCTTAGGAACACCTCTAGTTGCAATTATGCTTTGCATTGAGATGCTGAACGTTCTCCATATATATGTATTGATTCAGTGCGTGTCTATGAGGAGATTTTGAGTGGCACAGCGCAACGTTTTGCTGCGCACGCGCAATAGCCTCCCATTGCTTTCCTATGTGAAAGCAATCAATTGGCAGAGATCATAATGATCTCAGCCATGGAGCCAGGGCCAGCTGTGGTGTAACCAGCACAGGATGGGGAAAAAAGGTACGTTTTTACCCTTTGATCTCCAAGGAGAGGGAGAGCTGAGCTCCTAAATATTGATTCCTACACTATAGTGTTAAATTACTCACCAGTGCTGCTATATCTTATGACTGCTTGCTCTAGCTGTCAGGCAAGCCTGTGTGTACTACTATGTACAGCAAAAATAAAGGGTAAAAAAAAATGATCCATCAGTGCAATACATAACATGCTCACAATGGGGGAATTTCTACTCACCAGAGCTGTTTTCAAAGGCGAGTAGGCATTTTGTGGCCTACGGTGTGTGGTTTTTTTTTTTTTATGTTTTTTTTTTTATTTCAACTTTTTGGGGGTTAACCCATTACTTGCCAATAAGAATGTTCTTTGATCCCTACAAGTCGTGCTCTGTGAAAGGGGTTGATGTACTGGGTTTTTTTTGTTTTTTTTTTTAGAATAGCTGCATCTGTCGTTTTCACATAGTCAACACTAGTCCAGGGTTTAATCTAAGTGGGCACATCCTTATCTTGTTTACAGAACTGCCAGTGTGAAAAATACCTGTATTATGAGAGACTTGCTATCTCAGCAGTACAATAGACAACATAGTTATCCCAACTTCTCCTTATCACTCAGTACGGAGCACTGACATCAAGGAGAGTTTAACGCCCTCCCTCGTTTAGCATACTCCCCAACATTCTGAGGCTCTTTCCATATAGTTAACAGAGGGAGCTTGTTGCACATGGCTTCATAAAGTGAAGACTGGTGCCAAACATTTCACTATTAACTGGATAGTTCAGAGACGGAGAATGTGCCATGTACTGATGGTGTACTAAAGCATTTGATAGTTTAATATGTTCTGTTCAGCTAGCTGTACAACATGCGCACAACCTCCCAATCTATGGGTAAAGTTTGATCCTTCCAAAGCTGTTTATTGGCTGTGCTGGGATATGCATTAAATTCTAAATTTCCAACAAATGTGGCTTGTTTGCTGTATTAATTAGTTTGGATTATCCATGGTCTAAAATTAAAAATTGCTATAGTAATCATGATCAAAATTTATTTTATTAATTTCCATTCTTTAATTTTAAAACCAATTTTAACAAATCCTAGTAACTGGCTCCATTAGTGTTTCTGGATTATTTTACCTTCTTAATTAGGTATTGTGGCTGAAGTCTGTAACTAGTATTTGCTGTGTGAATTGCTTTTCATAAATGGTCCCCCAAAACTACTCACTCCAGTGCCCTGCAAATAACTTGAATACTAGTACTTCACTGGACTAGTATTTAAATATTAAACAGTGAATTAGTTAATTTGTTCACTGACCTCATTATAAAATGGTATTTACTGCCATTTTAACACTCATTGTGTGTGTATCATTAACACATTAAAATAGGATCTTAATTGTTACCACTTGTCAGTGTACTTTTTACCAGACTAACATCTGAATTGTGTTCCTGAAAATGTGGAGTACAGCAACGATCATCCACTTGTTGTACAATTTAGATTCTGCACTTACAGTGGTACCCTAGGAGTGCAGTTTGTCAAGATGTAGGCGTTCTCCATTTATTTAGCAGACACATTGCCGTTGCCTATTAAATAAATGGGGTGACAGCTTACTAATTTCTCTTGTATCAGCGATATGTCTCTAGAGTGAAAGGGTTAACAGCGCCATTTCCAAAATTGCTGCCATGAGAACACAGGTATTTCACTGAGGACTCTTTAATTTTGTTTCTAGATCATAAAGATCCGAGCACAGACGGAGGGGATAAACATTAGTGAAGAAGCCTTGAATCATCTTGGAGACATGGGCACCAAGACAACGTTAAGGTAAGTGATGAGCATGGCGGCTTGTCAATCTTCCCATCCCAGCCAGGCCTTTTAACATTACCACCGTCTGAGAAACTCCTCAGGCAGATGGATGGTAGGTGTCTGGTTTGTGAACAGCTCAGGTGCATTAGGCTAAGATCATCCTTGATATTACTGTCTGGATGTGCTGATCTACACAGTAGGCACCCCCAATACAGTCATGTGCAATTTAGAAGCTGGATGTTGTTACACCCCCTCTCCATATTTAAGTGTTACTTTAATGTATATAGGTATTTTTCATACTCCACATTCTTCAAAGGGAAATTTTTGAAGACCACAATAGTCATTTCTAAAACTATCCTAGTTGGTTGCTTTCTATTTATATATTGCCTAAACAAAGAAAATACTACTTCTATAAGCTCTACTTATTAACTACCATATTGATAATAGGACTTTGAAATACTTTAGATAAGATCATTCTAATACGAAATGTAAAGTCCGTAATCTGTTCCCACAATCTGAGAACTGCATCCCACCATGTCTTGTGGGGAGACATAAAAAAATTGTGGGATTCCTGCTTGGCATTATGGAAGCATACAGATGGACCAACAGCATAAGCTAGGACTCCATGTGTGTTTACCATTAGTCTAGTCCTTTCCTAATTATTAATAATATCATCATCATTAGTACAGGGGTAGGTAACCTTTGGCTGGAGTGCCAAAGCTTGCCTACCCCTGCATTAGTACGTTTAGGTTACATAGTTTGATGTAAGCCTTGCTATCCACTTCTAGTATTTATAAGTGTTACAACAGTCTCAGTCTCTATTTCCACCTGAAGTTTTTTTATTTTTAATCTCCATTTGCCTTGGCAGATACTCGGTGCAGCTGCTAACGCCAGCCAACCTTCTCGCTAAAATCAATGGCAAAGACGGCATCGAAAAGGAGCACGTGGAAGAAATCGGTGAGTTGTTTTACGACGCCAAATCATCTGCTAAAATCCTTGCTGAGCAGCAAGAAAAGTACATGAAATGAAGAATAAGGTGGGACCTCTTGACCAGAGCCAGAGGTGGCTTATAATCTCAGAGACTGGTTTGCCGAATCGGTTGAATATACTTTGTTCATATCGTCATTGTAGTGAGATTTATGGGGGCTGAAGACTTTGACTCCTGACTGAAGCAGTTCATGTACCACCTGTTCGGATTGCGATAAAGTGGACTTTAATATTTTTCTTAAAATGAAATGTAAATTAAATATTAAAAAAATGAACGTGTGGTGTTTCTCTCTCACTCTATTCATGTGTGCATGTAAGACTTGTTGAAGTTAATTGACAATAGTTCTGGGGCACATTCATATTTGCATCCTTGTCCATTTGTTGCCTTTTGTAGCATATGCCTTTTGATTTATTTACTTTTGCAGTAACAATCCTATAATCTGTAAAGTGACAGTTACTCAAACCTTCATTACAGTAAATGCAGTTGCAGCATTCACTGGTGTGAGGAGTGCAGCAGAGGCAAGTATACACACATGATTGGACGGCAATATTACTCAAAGATGCTTAGGTATCTACTTGAGATGTGTTTTGCAGGGGCAAAGCTTGCTGCAGGACTTTCCTTTGCAGCAAGCGTATTTGTATAGCCATTGGTAAGTAACATTTAATATATGAGGATTTCGCTTTCACTATGTTTAGGTAAAAGTTACTCCAAGCATCATGACCACTACAGCCACTCACCCGATGAGAAGGTGGGATGTTTTGTCATCCCCAATGACAAGCTCTCTCCTCTCTCAAAGTGAGCGTGTTGGTACAATGCTCTTCCAGGGTAGACCATGCACAGAGCCCTTCTAAAGAGCTTGCGCATATTCTTTGAGGGGTGCAGATAGGAGCAAAGAAATAAATTATTAAAATCAATAAAAGATAACCTTTATATCCCCTCTCACTTCTTACCTTTGGCCTGGGAGGCTCCATTGCAAGCTCTGGTGGTGAGTGAACTGTAGCCTGCAGTGCATTGGGCTAGAGTTCACTCTTGCAACTTCTGGTTGTTGTGTTGCCATGGTAACTGCAGCAATGCGCCAACCTTTTAAAAGGAACCTATAGGACCTGGTGGGGCTGCAGGCAAGAGTTCCAGGGTGTTTCTCTCCCTCCTCTGGTGGATTGAAGGGTCGCAGATCGGTGAGTACGATATTTAATCAGTTGTGGCACTCATCAGGGGCAGCTTTTGGATAGCGCTGTCCCTGCAGGGGTCAACAGGGGAGATCCAGCCTCCTACCATGGTCGTCGTGGCTCACTGGGCATTTGCCAGATGGCCAGTCTGGGCCTGCCTGTACTTAAAAAAAAATTTCAATGCTCTTTTGAAAGTGCATAGGGTGAGTTCCGTGTGCTGGTCCCACAAAGCTTACTTTACCATATTTGAGAAGGAAGCTTATGTGGGTATTAACGCATGCACAGGTTGTGATGTGTTTAAAAGCGATCTTCCAGCTCAATTGGGAATATGCATGGGAGATAGCAAAACTATGAAGCCAAGTTTGAAAATGTAACGGTTGCGAATTCCTGATTTCTGTAATCAAAGCACGCTCCACTAGACGCATTTACCCCTAAATCCCTTTCCTCAGATGTTGAGGTTAGGACTCTATCAAATATTTTGTACTCTGCCCTTGGGTTTTTACGTCCAAGTTGCATTATCTTGCCATTATCCACATTAAATGTCAGTTGCCACAATTCTGACCATTTTTCTAGTTTACCTAAATCATTTGCCTTATCCCTCCTGGAACATCAACCCTGTTACATATCTTCGTATCATCAGCAAAAAGACATACCTTACCATCAAGACCTTCTGCAATATCACTAATAAAAATATTAAAGAGAATGGGTCCAAGTACAGATCCCTGAGGCACCCCACTGGTGACAAGTCCATGCTTCGAATATATTCCATTAACTACAACCCTCTGTTGACTGTCACTCAGCCACTGCCTTACCCATTCAACAATATTGGAATCCAAACTTAAAGATTGCAGTTTATTGATAAGCCTATGTGCAACAGTGTCAAAAGCCTTACTGAAATCTAGGTAAGCAATGTCTACTGCACCACCCTGATCCATAATTTGTTACCCAATCAAAAAAAAAAAAAAAATCAATAAGATTAGTTACATTGTAACACTGATGTCTGTAAGGAATCCCTGAATAACCCTTCACATGTATATATTTTTTTTAAAAGAAGACAACCTAAGGTATTAAACTTGAGGTATTTTGACTCTTTTCATGCAACTATTTTACTACCAATCTATGCCAAGTTTTAAAAAAAATACATTTTTTATTTTTTTTTACACAAATAGCAATTTAAAAATACATGTACAGAGAACTTTAAGGATTACTGCCAAAGAACACCCTAATATGTGTTCAGGAACATCTGAGTACAGTGATAGCCCCCATGTATAGGTGTGTTGGATTCTCTGGGGGCTAAAAGGAGATATATATACATATACATACACTGGAGCCATTAAAGGATACTATCCTAACATATGCACCCTACATCAATGACATTTTTATGATCATCAAAGGCGATATTAGTGTTGCAGAAGCTATGCTACAGAGCATCAATACATGTACTACAAACATCGAATAAACTATGACGGCAGATCTATTTTCAGTGGAATTCTTGGATGTACGAATATACAGAGAAGGGAGAAAGTTTGCATATACGTTATATTCGAAACCCACAGACAGAAATACTTTATTACAGTTTCCATCCCAATGCTTTGAAGCGCTCATAACCATATTCACAATTTCTCAGGGTTCTGAGGAATAACTGATAAGAATAATGCAGAAGAACAGCTACAGAACATGTGGGGTAAATTTCAACAACGAGGATTTAGTGTTTTTACATTGCAGAAGGCATTGGACAAATGCTACCAAGTAAATAGTGTACCAGAGGAACCATTGATAGAAAGAACTGTCTTCCCTACAACAGCCTCTTTACAGTTTCAACAAATCGTTGACAACAATTGGAGGATTCTGACGAATGACATCACATTACCAGAACAATTCCGCAAACTACCCATGATGTGCTATAAGAGGAATAAGAGCCTTAAGGATTTACTGGTCAATACGGATCCCATACACTTATTTGAAAGATCTGGTTCCAATAAATCCAGGCTGTTATAGGTGTTTTGGATGTGTGACTTGTGAATACAAAATGCCACCTGCCTTTGGTTGTGACTGTGCTATGTTTTCTTGTTTCCAAGATCAGGTGGGGGTACAGAAAAGAGTAAAGGGCGGGGGTCAAATTGGTATTCAGGACACACATTAGCTATGATTGACAGATACATGAACATGCAAAGATATCCAGTAGCTTTTTGACTTCATGAGGTTGGATGACCAGAGTAGCATTTATTGTTTGTTACAGTGTTTCGTAGGTCTTTTGCGTCTTATCATTGTACATCTCACCCATGTTTTTTTTTGTTTTTTTTGTGGTTCTGTTGCATTTGACAGTGAGGGTGTACATGTCAGGTGTGAGACCTTAGGTGGGTCGAGTGGGCAGCGGGCCACGGTCGCGCATGGGGTGGGAACCGGCCACGTTTGTGTACCCTCGTATCGGGGACAGGCGTGTTATCCGGGCCGTCAGTCTCGACCCATTCACGGTTGGTTGGCCGCTATATGTGTAGTGTTCCCTCTACCTTAGGCGATAGTGCTTAGGTCACCATGTCGCCCTTTGGGTGTGCCCATTATGTCGTGGTGTTGCTCGTGTGTAGGTTGGCCGGGCAGAGGCGCCCATGTGCTTGGGCCTATTGTAGCGTCTGGTATATGTGTGGTCATGTGCTGTGGGGTATCTAAAGTGTCTTGGGAGTTAGCGGCACCGCTTCCCGTCTGTGTGGGGCTCCGTCCGCTGGCCGCTCCTTTGTCTGTGCACAATTATTTGCTTAATGCATGTTCTGGTCTAGTTCAGGGTGTGGGGCAGTCATGTCAGGCTTGAGTCTGGGGTGGGGGAGAGGAGGAGGGAGAGAAGAGAAGGAAAGGGGGGGATATATCTGAGAAAAAGGTGGAAGAGGTGGTGTAGTGATGGGGGGTGGGAGGGGGTGGAAGGAGATGAGGGCCATGGCATGAGTATAGATTTCAAGGGGTTATTCTGTCTGCGGCAATGTACAGAAGCCGGGGGTCCACGTCAGGTTGCATTTCTCTGTGCGGCCTTAAAGGGATGCCGTCATAATTTCCACCCATTGGTGTGTGGGGATATTTATGGAAGGTGGGGGCAACAATCTTTCCATAGAGTGGGTATCAGGGACTTTGCTGCTGTCAGCAGGTGTTTCGTCAAGGATTTCTTATATGTTTTTAAAGACATGCTCGTGTGGTGTAGCAACATAGGGAGGGGTTGGAGCAGGAGCTCTGGATCCGATATGTCACGGATTTTGGTGTTAACCATCTCCCATGTGATGGCCGTGCATGACCACCAGATATGAAGCATAGTGCCTCTCTCCTCCCCGCATCGCCAACATGTCTTTTCGATGTCCGGGTTCATGCGGTGCAACACAGCCGGGGTTCTGTACCAGGTCGTCAGCACCTTGTAGCTCATCTCCTGGTATTTTGAGCTAATGGAGCTTTTATGAGTGAGCAGGAATATTTGATCCCATTCTTGGGCAGTCAGGGTATCCCCGATCTCTCTCTCTCCCATTTGTCAATGAATTTCGGCGGCGGTCTGTTTTCTCCTTCCATAAGCATTGCGTACAGCATCGAGATCCCCCGTTCCAGGTGTCGCCTGGTCGTGCAGAGTTTCTCAAAGGGCGTGAGATCTCGGTGGAATTGTCGTTTGGTTGCGAATCTGGAGTAGTAGGACTTGACCTGTAGGTATCGGAACCGATCGAGGGTCGTTGGGGTGGTGTCTGGGAGCAGGTCTGTCAGGGATTTGAGGGTGCCATTGTCGCACCATTGGCATATGTAGATCAAGTCTGATCGAGTGAAGTTTTATACGTCCGCTGGTACCAGTCCTCCCCCTATGTCTGGGTTACAGGTGAGGGGCATTAGCGGGCTGGTATGGGTAATCAGCTGTTGCGGGTATCGGAGGGTGCACCAAGTCTTCAGGGTTGCGTCGATCAGGGGGTTACCCGTCTTGAGGGCACTAAATGGAGTTCCCATCCTCCATAGCTGCGAGGGGATTTTCCCCCTCTGCTTGTGTTACCTCGGCGCTCACCCAGAGTTTTTCTGGCGGTTGGACATGCCAGTCGGTGACCCTAAGCAGATGGGTTGCTCGATAGTATCCCAGGATCAAGGGGAGCCCTGTGCCCCCCGCTGTTTAGGTTGTTCCAGTTGGTGTTTACTGATCCTTGGAGCACCCCTCCTCCACACGAATCCCTGTATTGCTACAGAGATGGAGCGGAAGAACGCCCGTGGCAGGGAGATCGGAATCGTCTGGAAAAGATAGAAGGCGAGGTAGAATATTCATTTTTTTTTTTTTTTTTTATTAAAGTTGTATTTTATTTGGTTTTATACACACAGTATACACTTTTCCATTATATGGGTTATTGTATGAGTTATAACAGGTTCAAAAAGCGTTTCGTTGGGCTACAAACATAGCAACAATCACGATGTCAGAGAATCATGTACTAAAGCATGGTGAGGAAGCAATTTGCACATTTCTACCTCTCTACGGAGATCTCTACTTAAAGAGGTTGCTTGATTTTAGCAATCTTGCTGGCTTATCCTATGTATGTGAAGTCAGGTGATTAGGGCATTAGCATGGAGTAATGGGTTGGGAGTAATAAGAACTACCACTGACCATATAAACTTATATACATATGAAAAACATTATTATAATGGCTAAATATTGCGTTTCTCATTCTGCTTTCTGTGTCCATTGGCTAATATGCCTAGTTTTTTGAGGAATGTCTCTGGGTCTTCTCCCGAGGTCAGGGTGAGTACGTCGGTGCCCTTTTGTACCATCAGCGATCCTTCTGTGCCCCATCGGTACTGGACCGATTGTTCTGTCAGTCTCTTAGTGACAGGTGCTAGTTGTCTCCTTGCGGCAAGCACTGCAAAAGGGAGGTCACTGTACATGGCCACCTCGCATCCCTCAAATTTCACGGACCCCAATGGTCTGGATCCGGCCATGATGGCAGCTCTCGCTGCTATGTGTCTGGTGGTAGCTATTGTGTCTCTGGGGGCACTAGCGGGTGCTGCTGGCGATTTGCGCACCCTGAATGTGGACAATATCAGTGGGGTGTCTGAGTTACACCTGAGGCCCATGGAGGAGATGAGTTTCCGGACAAAGGGCAGTAAATCTCCACCGCTCACCGTTTCAGGGATACCTCTGAGGCGTATGTTGCGGCGGCGGTGTCTGGTCTCAAGTGTTACCACCGTTCCCTGTAGGCGTCGGACCTGCTCAGCAAGTCCGTCTAGTTGCTGCTTGGTGTCCTGGAGTTGGTGATCTCTGGATCTTGCACTGTTCTCCACCTCCTGGACTCTCTGCTGCAAGACCCCTATTTCAGCATGGGTCTCCTTTAAGTCGGCCTTCCAGACCTGCTTTAGGTCTGTCAGCAGCTTTCTGATGTCCCCCTTTGTGGATGGGGAGTCGTCCTCCTCCGAATCAGACCTGGGAGTGGGGCCTGGGAGAGAGGCTTGGAAGTCCCTCTCTTCCTGGGAGTCATCAGAGGTCTCTAACTCACTCTGCGGATCCAGCGCCATCTTGGCGGGCCGCGCCTGTGTAGGCCTCTGGAATGCCAGCCTGATATCGGGTGCCGCGGGTCGCTCCGTGTGGATTTGTTTTTTATGCTTGCGCCCCATGTTGTCGGCTGTCGGGTGGCAGGTAAGCTGTGTGGTGCGGATTTGTCTGCGTTAAGGCTCTTAGTCTGTGGGGGCGATGCAGAGCTCCACAGATATGCGACTGTTCAGCTCTGTTGTCGGCCACGCCCCCTCCAGAATATTCATTTTTATCACATTTATGCATCCAAACCAAGAGATGTAGAGGTCCGTCCATTTTTGCATGTCGGCCTGTAGGGGGTCAGGATGGGGGCAAAGTTTGCCTGGTAAAGGTGTGTGAGCTCTTTAGTCAACCAGATACCGAGGCATTTCAGTTTAGTGTCACACCATTTGAATCTGAATTGGGATCGTAAGTGCGTATCGGATTTGGTGGGGACTGAGATGTTGATGGCCTCCGACTTCTTCGTGTTAAGTTTCAGGTTTGAGATCTTCCCAAAGTCACGGAAAAGACCCAGAAGGTTCGGTATGGAGATCAGCAGCGGTTGCTTCATGAAGAAGAGCATATCGTCGGCATACGCCACGACCCGGTGCTCCACTCCCCCCATTGTATGCCCCACTCCCCCCATTGTATGCCCCCAGGAATGGTTCCAAGGAGAGGGCGAACAACAGGGGGGACAGGGGGCATGTACCATTGCGTATGGGAAATGGGTCAGAGAGGGCACCGTTAACTCGAATTTGGGCCGTTGGGGTCGTGTATAATGCTGCTATCCAGGTCCTGATATTGGGACCGAATCCCATGTGTTGCAATGTGGCCCCAAGATAGGCCCAGTTCACTCGGTCAAAGGCCTTTTCTGCGTCTGTGGAGAGGAGGACGAAAACCTCCTCCCCGTCCCCTGGCCGAGTGAATGATATTAAGGGCTCGGATAGTGTTGTCTTGGGCTTCCCTGCCCGGCACAAAACCCACCTGGTTCAGGTAGTACCCTGGCAAGGCGGAGGGCCATGACTTTTGTAAATAGCTTAAGGTCAGCTTTTAGGAGGGAGATGGGGCGGTAGCTCGCACAACAGGCTGGGTCCTTCCCCTCCTTCGGCAAGACTGTTACTACAGCTCGAAGCAAGTCCACTGGGAGCTGCCGGCCTTCTAATATAGAGTTTAGACCCGTCAATATATGTGGCAGTAGGATATCTTTAAAGGTGCGAAGATATCTTGCAGGGAGGCCGTCCGGCCCCGGAGCCCTGTTGGATTTAGTTAGCTTGATCCCGCGTACAGCTCCTCGGGGGACAGAGAAGCATGTCTGCGGCCCTCTCAGGGATGAGTTTGCGAGTGACATGCCTGGTAAGATAATCCGTTAGTTCGCGTCTGTGTTATGCCGAGCGCGTTGGTCGTATCTGCCAGGTTGTAGAGGCCGGTGTAGTAGTCCCTGAACGCCTGTAGGATCTCCGCTGGAAGGCGCGTTTCTTTCCGGCCTTGGGTATTAATTTTGTGTATGTGGTTTTGCCTCCGTCTCTGTTGCAGGGTCTGGGCCAGCAGTCTACCACATTTGTTGGAGTACTCGTAGAAATAGCGGATGGACCTCCGGATCACATTGAGCAGCTTCTGGGAAAGTATGTCTCTGAGTTGTCTCCTCGCGTCCATCAATTGTAGATATATGTCTTCCCTCAGTTCCTGTTTGTGTGTGGTTTCCAGGTCCGATATCCGCTTGGTCAGTTACAGGACTTGTCTGGTGTTCTCTCATTTGCGTTGCGTACATAGGCTGATATAGGGCCCTCTTACTACGCACTTATGTGCCTCACATGTAATCAGTGGAGATACCTCGGGGGAAGCGTTGGATGCGAAGTATTGGGTGAGCACTTGTGAGGTCAGAGCCGTACATTCCGCGTCAGACAGTACAGCCTCGTTTAGCCTCCATTGGGGGATGGGGGAAAGAAAAAAAGAAAAAAGGGGGAGTGGGGCGTATAGGAAGAGAGATGGAGGGGGGGTAGCTAGAAACAGATAGGAAGAGTAGGCACGTGGGGGGGCGGAGACCGGGGGAGGATGGTTTATGTCAGTCAGTTAGAGTCGGTCAACTGAAGTCGGAATGGGGCGAGGGGAGTAGGAAACGTCGGGTGTAAGTAGACAACAATGACCCTAGATTGGTCGAGCGCACCAGGGTATGTGTAGCACGTCTGGAGTCAGCGGGGGACCATGGGCTCGATCTAATGTACAGTTTGGGTCCGCTGCGCGGGGTTGTAGTGACCAGTGGAGTGAAAGGGTGTTAGAGGTCGCGAAGCTACTGCTTGTGTCCGGCTCAAAGCTGCTCAGTGCTCCTGAGCCTGGTGGAGGAGCCATGTAACATGTTATCCCATTTGTGAATGGCATGCATTTAGTACAGTATAGGTAATTATATGATCAATATTCAACTATAACAATTTTGCATGTTGTGATTTAACAGATTGCAATTAAACCAGTGAATAACATATCAACTTTAAACAGATCAGCTACGTTCCAAGGGCCCGTGGGGGGGTCTCCAGTTTTGTCTCCCATTTCTGGACAATCTCCGGTCCCTATTCCACCCTACCGGATTGTCGAGTTAGCCAACCTTACTATTGCGGGGGGACTGTCAGGGGTGTTGTGCTTCGTGCATCACTAGCTGTCAGGGGTGGAGGGAGTCCCGTTCTAGCGCCTGTAATACCCACAGTGATCGCTCTGGCCTCTCCCATGCGTCCACCTCATACCCCCTCTGTCTATGCGGAGCGTCCCTACCATAGACAGTCTGGTATCTGCCTACCTCGTCAAGCGTGGTCCCCTGAGGCATTGACAGATGTGGGTTGAAGGCTATCTCTGGTCCTGTAGGGGAGTCCGTATGGTATGGGCTGCGGTGTCTGGGGGTACGGGGTCTGCCATCATAGGCTGCATGGGGCCCCTCTGTTGGTTCCCTTCCCTTGTGGTCCCAGTCTCCTTACCTGGCTGGTGCCCGCCCCCCCCTCCTCCTCTGCCCGGATCCCCCCCCCTTCCCATCCGCTTGTCTTAATACCTCTGTACCCCGAGGGGTCCAACCTAGGTTTGACCAAGCTTGAGAACCTCTGGGTATAGCAGAGTAGGGGCAAATTTGAGTCCAGTTTGCCGGTGGCATCAGTGGTCCATGTCTGTGGGCTGTTGGTGTTCCCTGGGAGATATGTCCCCCGCCACATCCCAGGGCAGTAGTAGATAAGTGCCATGCCCGGGTCCCCCCACCCAAACAAACCTCGCCCTCCCGTTGTAGCTTCCTGCCCATCTGGGTGTGACGGGCTGGCATTGTGAGTCATGGGCTTAGGGTCTGTAGTGGCAGAGTCTTGATGAAGGTTAGGGCCCGTTATAAGGGGGCCTGGGTTGAAGGAGCGCTACCTCGTGCAGCAGCCATGTTGGGGTCCCCAGGGGGAGTGTGGGCTAGGGGTGCAGGTGTGCTCTGGCCTAAATCCCCATGTGCATTTGAACAAAAATGGAGGCTCTTTAGTTCTATTCTAAATGGCCATTTGAATATATAAGCTCACCAGCCACGTCAAGGCAAGCCTCAATAGGTGAGTTCCTACACTAGCCATTAGATATGCTGATATCAGCCAAGAGTCTCCAATGAGACAGGAAGGGGTATTTTATAAACCCTTTAACATTTAACCCTTTATAGGGCTTCTGCACATACAATAAACTTTGCTGATATCAGACAAAGTGAGACAGAAAGGGGTGTTTTATAAACCCTTTAACATTTAACCCTTTATAGGGCTTCTACACATTCAATAAACTTTGCTGGTATCAGACAAAGTATAGACGTCTCTAATGAGACATGAAAGGGTGTTTTATAAACCCCTACATACTTTACCCTGAATAGGGCTATAACATACAAATCACCTTGCTGGTATCAGCTAAAAGGCAAATTTCTCTAATGAGACAGGAAGGGGTTGCTACCCCTACATACTTATAAAGTCTTAATAAGACAAACGTGGGAAGGCTGGCAGCAATGAAACATAGTTTAGTGATACAAAATTCATATACAAACACAAAGATAAAGCACCGCGCTTACAGCAGCAGTGACTTAGTATCCAACAGCTTAAAATACATAGTAAAAACAAAGAAAAACGTTACCTGAGCAGGTAACGTTTTTCTTTGTTTTTACTATGTATTTTAAGCTGTTGGATACTAAGTCACTGCTGCTGTAAGCGCGGTGCTTTATCTTTGTGTTTGTAGGGGTGCAGGTGTGTTAGCAATGTAATGTACATACCCCCAACGGCGGCTCTGCTGCAGAGTCCGGGGCACTGGTGTCAGGCAGGGTGGGGAGTCAGAGTCTGGAGGGCTGACCCTCAGCATGTTGGGGGCCCCAAAGTCCTTGGGGTGAGCTGATCTGGGTGAGGCGGGGTATTATTCTTCCGGTGCGTCCGGTCCCCCTCTCCTCAGGGGCCTACCCCCTCTGTTACCTGGAGAGAGTGGCCTGGCAGGGTCTGCGGGTTGTTGCGGCGGACCTATCAAGATCCAGTTGGAGATTGCCACCGCCGGCAGATCCAGGGCTCGCAGGAACCCAGGCACATCGGTCGGCAATCGTAGCATGCGCCAGGTGTTGTCTTTACGTCCCTGCAGGCTGAACGGGTAGCCCCACTTGTATGGGATCCGTCTGTCTTGAAGCAAGCGGGTGAGCGGGCTCAGTGCACGACGAGCTTCCAGCATCAGGGGTGAGAGGTCTTGAAATAGAGACACCTGTGCATCCATGAAAGTAATGGCCTGTGGTCTGGCTGCTCGCATGATGGCCTCTTTCAGGTGGAAGGCTAGCAGGCAGCATACAATATCCCTGGGAAGACCATCATTCCTCGGGGGTCGGAGGGCTCTATGGGCCCTTTCAATGTTGTATGTGTCAGGTGCATTCTCCCCCAGTATCTGTGTGAAGAGTTGGGTCAGTATGGCCACGAGGTCTTCCCCTACCTGTTCAGTCAGGCCCCTGACGCGTATGATATTACGGCGCCGTGATTATCCAGGTCTTCATCCTGTCTTCTCAGGTCCAGGAGGACCGTGCCTTGCCGTGAAGTGGCATTATCCGCTGCTTGGGAGGCCTGTATGCAGTCTGCCTCCAGGTCTGTAACTTGTTGCTCCAGGGCGGTAATATCCCTCCGCACCTCCTGGATCTCCTCCCTGATGGCTGAGCGCATTTCTTTCACCATGGCTGTCTTTTCAGTCTTAGTCACCATGTTGGAAGCTATTGTTGCCAGCTCCGCCGAAATCTTTGATAGGAAGTCTGTGTGCATAGATCCTGCCGTGGATTCAGCTGTGCTACTGGCGCCCGGTGAGTCCGCCGCCATCTTGTCCGCCAGCCGCATGGTTTTGAAGCCGTCGGGGGTGGACAGATATCCGTTCATGGGACCTGCCTGTCGCCTCGGGGAGGCTGTCCCCGAGGGTCCAGGGTCATCTGGGGCCGGGTTTTCCCCATTACTGGCTGCAGGAGGGCTATTAACAAGGGGTTTTACGAGCTGGGGTTGCAGAGCCTCGAGTGTGTGCGGCTTACTCCATGTCCGGTATTCACATTTCTATGTAATGTTTGAAGAATTACATATATTTTGTGGTGGCGATATTAAAATTAGTTTGTTTTTAATTAATGTATTAGTAGCTCATTTGCATATACTTATGATACAAAAAAAAAAAACCTTGCATTAATGAGCTGGAGAAATACCACTTCTTTCATGAACAGTAGGATGCTGGGAGATAAACAACTCCAACTGTTTGAATGGAATGTTCTGATTGGTTGCTCCACAATCTCAGAGACCTTAAATCTATATTTTCTATAGGTTCTATAATTTAATGCAATGGGTGATTAGCTTAAAAGTTAAGGGGGAGGTGGGAGGGGTGCAGTGTAATATCTATATTTTCTTATCTCATTATGCACACAGTTAAAATATTTGACCTATCCCATTGTACCAGTTCAACATAAACTTGTGATATGTAATATTCAGAAACCTTGTTTTGTTTTTCTTGCAGGCTTCCTATCTCTTGCCTGTTTTGCATTAAATGATGGATAGAACTACTTTTAAAAAAATTTTTTACCCTGGTACATCCAGCGTCAACCCATTCTGTACAAAGTGAATAAAACGGATGGGGAGGAGGAGATTGAGAGAAGCCTTTTCAGTGTTTGTTATTCTCCTGCGCCTCTGCAATTATCAAATCCATCTCAACAGTGAAGTTTTTACAACCAAATTGCCAGTATGGGTAAAAAGCTCCCCCTATTCATTATGTGTTGGAAGCAGGGCCCTGACGAAAAGGGACATATTAGTTACATCTTATCAGCCTGACACCTAATCTAGCAACAATTACAACAGACACATATATCCTGAAATTTCAATTTCACCCAGGCGGATAAAAATAAATAAAAAAATGTAATGTTAAATAGGGGGCTAGCTTTTTGAAAGGACTGTGAATTTTGCATACACCCAATAAGACCATAACCAGCTGGGAGGAATGTATCACAATGTCATCGTGCTGCAGATTGTTCAGATTATTTTAATGTCTTAATTATTTTGCTGTCACCGCCAGATCTGTTGTATGCTCTGTGTGGCAGTAAATGGGTTAACTGCAATAAGGCTTCCTATTATGTACATGAAACAAATCAAGCCTTAAAGTTCTGAATATTTCCTCATCTGTGTCTTCCTTTTGGATTCAGCAAAACATAGAAGATGGGAACCGATCTTACAATATATTTTAGGCCTTTTTTTGTTTATTTCTGGGGCACCTTTAAAGGTAAACTGACTTTTCTGGTATTATAAATATGATTTCCAATGCACACATACTTAAATACCTCCTTTCAGTGCAATTCCTAGCTTAGTACAAATGGAAAATACCGGGGTGCATATATATAAGGGAGAAAAGGCTATCATAGTACAGTGTTGCTACTGACTTTTTATACCCCAAAGTGCAAAACAACTCGCAAGATATATTCTTGTGAGATATCTTAAAAGGCACCAATTGTTGTAAGACAAATTCAAGAGCTGATGAGGTTCAGGTGCTAAGCAAACAACAAAATATACATCTAGTGTAAATGGGTTAAAACATTTTGTTGACTTGGGTAAATGAGTGTTTCACACTTAAAGGGACACTATAGGCACCCAAACCCCTTCATCTCATTGACCTGGTCTAGGTGCGGTGTTCCTATCCCCCTTAGCCCTGCAATGTAACATTGCGGTTTCAGAGAAAGTGCAATGTTTACAGTGCAGTGCTAAGACTGTCTCTAGTGGCAGCCGCTAGAGGTGCTTCCTGTTTTACATAGTTTATCTGACTGGACATCCTAGCTCTTATCATGAGGACATCCAGTGTCCTCAAATTCCCCATAGGAAAGCATTCACTCAAAGCAATGGGGAAAAACTAATGCGTGCAGCGCATGCACGTTAGGTTTCCCCTCGATGCTGATGTCTGATGAGACTGAGCCAGCCCTGAGGACCAAGGGGCTGGAATAAGGGGAGTGAAAGAAAGTGTTATTTAAATGTAACCCTTTCACTGCCATGGGGAGGGACAACACTTAAGTGTTTGGAATATAATTTTGTATTCCTAACACTATAGTGTTCCTTTAATGTTAATAGTGGTTTAATTGCTTTTAAGGAAAAAAAAAAAAAAAGGTTTCTAAATGAATCACCATTAGTCTGCACTCATTCTGGCTTTACAGTGTATTTCATCTGACAAGACTTTTGAAGGGGTTGCAGTAAACAATGAAGTCCTCCCAATTTATAGACCACTTTTTACATGCTTTCTGGTTTGCCCTGGCTCTGTGGGAGTGACTGTCTTTTTGATTGAGAGAACCCATGTATCTGACATACCACTATTTATAGGGTTATTGGAACAGTCACCACGGGACTTATGTAACAGTTTACCAGGAGTTGGTGCCCAGTTGTAGGAGATGGCACAAGGAGGAGGCAAAATCCCAAAACACAGAACAGATAAAGGGGTAATCCAAAGGCAGGGTCAGACAAGAAGCAGAAGTCAGGGCTGGCAGCGGATTAACAAAGTCAGGGCCAGCGCTACCTGTAGAGAGCCTCAGGCGGCTGCAGCTTTGCCCGGGCGGTGCGTCCATGAGGGCGGACCGCACCGCCCGGGCGCAGCATGGGGAGAGGGGCTGACAGGAGGGAAGCGCTCAGTGCTCAGCGCTCCCTCCTGTCACTCCCTCCCTGTAGCGTGGCCGAGCCCTGCATCATGATGGTCCGCGGGTAC